TTAGGGTAATTAATTTAATTTTCTAGGATAATTTTGGTTTAGGAATTAAGTTGGGTTTTGTTTTATTTTATTTTTAGAAAAAAAAGAAGTAAAAAAGAATTGTTGAAAAATTGGAAAGAAATGAAACAAAAGAAGAAGGGAGCTGAATTTTTGGGCTGAAATTGTGTAATCTTACCCCAACCCAGTTGAAATTCCCTCAGACCCAGCCCAAGAACCCATCCCTGACCCGGTTCATCTTCACCCCACCCCCAAACGACCATGTTCAGTTAACTAATAATCTCAGTCGTCGAGATTGGTTTGATCCAACTGTGGGGAAGTGGGGGTGGGCTTATTATATATGTGTCCGAATTAGGCCCCCTCTCTCTTCTCATCATCTCTCCTAAACCCACCCCTCTTCAGAGACCGCCCAAAACCCTAGCTGCCACCATGCCCACCGCCTAGAAACCTGGCGGCGCCACCTCCAATCCTTCCCAAAATCACATCCTATAACCACCTCATTTCCCTCACCTCAAATCCCCATCCAGTTTCTTTCGAATTTCCCCCAAAGCCTCTCGAATCGTAAATATAGGGTTCGAAGTTCTAGAGGTCGAAGTCGGGTTTCCTCATGCAAGGTCACCCCTCCAAGTTCCCCGTTTGTTCCAAGCCTGGTTCGTCTCGAAGTGATGTTCTTCGTTTGTTCTTGACAAAGAACAGAAGATATATAGCATTTCAAGACTAAATCAGAATTACCCGTTGATTTCAAGTCTAAATTGGTAATTTCTTTTTCTTTCTTCGCATTTTTTGTTCGTCTTTCTGCTTCGTCTCTTCCTGGTTCTTTTTTTCTATCTCCGTATTTTGAATTCAGTTTCCTTCTCTAAGGCAGTTTGTTTGATATGTGTTTGGGCATTTGGTTCTTTTCCATCTCTTTAGTTTTCTTTCTCTTAGTCGATATTCTCCTGTCTTTATTTAATTTTTATTCTAGGCTATGAAGTTTTCTAATAATTAGTTTAGGTAGATTGTTTTCGAATTAGTAGTTTAGTTTTAATGTCAATCTAGCATGTTGGCTTAAGGAAAAATAAGAAAGGAAAATCATCACTCGTAGCTTAGATTGCATGTTCTGAAATTACTCGATTGTCATTAATTGGGTTGGTTTGCAACCCCTGTTGGCTTGAATTTTGGGGTAGGTTTATTGTGCATCGCTGAATTGGGTTGGGTTTCTATTAATTTGAAAGCCCAAAGGAAAGGAAAGTCAGTCTGGATCACAAGCCTAGGCTTGGGGCTGAACCTTGGGTCAACTTGACCCATGTGGCATGCTGCAGTAAAAAACAGGGCTCTAAGGGGGGTAATTTGGGGAAATAGGGGTAGAGAATCTGTTGGTAACTGCCTAGGAAGCTTCCTAGAAGCTGAAAAAGAGCCTTACTTGGCAGATAAGTCAAAGATGCAAGGATTAAGTAGCAAAAATCAAAATTCAAAAGTGTTAAAATGAAAAATCTGATTCTCTATTTTTGCCCTATTGCCTTGCCTATAAAGACATTTCATTCTTGCTTTTCAAGGAGAAAAAAGATGGAAAAAAATCCAGAAAAATACAAAAGGGCAAAATTCTACTGTTCCATTGAACTTCAATGATTTCTTAACTTCTGAAAAACAAAAGTTCCTATTCTGATATTCAAAATGGATTGATGTTTGGTTGTCGAAAGTTTTGATTCAAGCTGNTAGTTTAATAATATTACTTTCCTAAATTCGGGTGCGCATTTATGTGACCCAAATCCAAATCACAATGATGTTAAAATATGTCAAAGATCACAGGTGCATTTATGTGACGTGGTTTGAGACATGTTTTAATGACGTTGCAATTTTCTCTAAAAAATGAATAAAAGCGGATAAAAAGTTAAATTTGCATAGGTTCATAATTGTCTAAAATCTAGTAATTAAGCCGAATATAATAGTTGAGAGACCGTGCTAGAACCACGGAACTCAGGAATGCCTAACAGCTTCTCCCGGGTTAACAGAATTCCTTATCCGGATTTCTGTGTTCGCGGACTGTAAAACAGAGTCAACCTTTTCCTCGACTCGGAATTTGAACTGGTGACTTGGGACACCATAAATTATCCCAAGTGACGACTCTGAATTTTTAATAAAATAATCTCATTTCGATTGTCACTTTAAGTTGGGAAAAAACACCCTTATACTCCCTTTCGGGGGGTGTAGGTAAAAAGGAGGTGTGACAGGTGTCATCGCGGGGGAGGGGGTGCAGGGGATAAGGGGAGTAAGAGGGCTAAGGGAGATACTAGGATGAGAGTGGGGTCTTGGAACATAGGAACTTTGACTGAAAAATCTGTAGAGTTAGCGAAGATTCTCGAGAAAAGGAAGATTAATATAGCTTGTATACAGGAGACTAGGTGGGTAGAAGATAAGGCGCGAAATGTGGACAGGTTCAAACTATGGTATTCTGGGAGGGCGGGGGGCAGGAACATGGTAGGTATTTTAGTTGATAAGGACCTCTATGAATTAGTGGTGGAGGTTAGGAGGGTGAATGATAGGCTGATGACTATTAAGCTAGTTGTTGGAGGTTTTACTTTGAACATAATCAGTGCGTACGCACCCCAAGCAGCCTTGGATGAGGAAGTCAAAAGGCGTTTCTGTGAGGATCTGGATGAGATGGTGCACGGTATCCTGCATACCGAGAAGCTTTTTATAGGAAGAGATTTCAATGGCTACATTGGAGCGACGTCTGGGGGATATGATGATGTGCATGGTGGCTATGGTTTTGTATATAGAAATAGAGGAGGAACGTCTCTGCTGGACTTTTCTAGAGCATTAGATTTGGTGATAGCAAACTCGAGTTTCCCGAAGAAGAGGGAACACTTGGTCACCTTCAGGAGTTCGGTGGCCGAGACTTAGATTGATTATTTACTCTGCAGGAATTTTGATAGAGGTCTTTGCACGGATTGCAAGGTCAACCCGAGTGAGAACCTCTTGACCCTTCATAGGCTCCTAGTTATGTACTTTGAGATCACGAGGAAGAGGAGGAAGAAGGTGATGTATAGCCAACATAGGATTAAGTGGGGAGCCTTGACGGAAGCTATAGCGCAGGAGTTGGGGGTCAAGCTGCTGACTATGGGGGTTTAGAGAAGCAGTGGGGACGCAAGCGCTATGTGGACCACGACTGCGTAGTGCATTAGGGAAGCCGCGAGAGAGGTATTAGGTGTCTCAAAGGGTTACTCTAGTGGTCACAAGGGAGACTGGTGGTGAAATGGAGAGATGCAAGGAAAAGTGAAAACCAAGAAAGCGACGTATTTGAAACTAGTAAAATGTGTAGACGAGTAGGAGAAGTGGGCGAATAGGGAGCAATATATGTTGGCTAAGAAAGAGGCAACACTAGCAGTTACGGTAGCCAAGACTGCAGCTTTTAGTCATTTGTATGAGGAACTCTAGGGCTGAGGTAGGGATAAGAGTTTGTTTAGGTTAGCTAATGCGCAAGAAAGGAAGACCCGCGACTTGGAATAAGTGAAGTGCATCAAGGATATGAAGAAGATAGAGTTTTGTTGGATGGGGGGGGGATTATCCGTCGAAGATGGCAAATCTACTTCCATAGTCTCTTGAACGAGGAGGGGGACATGAGCATTGTACTGGGTAATTTGGAACTCTCTGGGAGTTGTTGTGACTTTGGGTATTGTAGGCGGATTAGAGTTGATAAAGTGGATGGGGCTATGCGTAAGATAAGTAGGGGCAAAGTGACTGGGCTGGATGAAATTCTGGTGGAGCTTTGGAAAAGTGCGGACAAGGCAGGCTTGTAGTGGCTCACTAGGTTATTTAATGTCATTTTTAGAACGAAGAAGATGCCCGAAGAATGGAGGTGGAGCATTTTGGTTCCTATATACAACAATAAGGGTGATATCCAAAATTGCAATAGTTATCGGGGTATCAAGCTGCTTAGCCATAATATGAAAGTTTGGGAGAGAGTGGTAGAGCTAAGGGTGAGGAGGAGTATGTCTATTTTCGAGAACCAGTTCGGGTTCATGTCGGAGCGTTCGACTACAAAAGCCATCCATTTTGTTAGGAGATTGATGGAGCAGTATAGGGAGAGGAAGAAGGACTTGCATATGGTGTTCATCGACTTAGAAAAAGGCGTACGATAAAGTTCCGAGGGAAGTTTTGTGGAGATGTTTCGAGGCTAGAGGTGTACCTGTTGCCTACATTAGGGTGATTACGGACATGTATGATGGAGTAAAAACTTGACTGAGGATGGTTAGTGGGGACTCAGACCATTTTTTGGTTATGATTGGGTTGCATTAGGGGTCGACACTCATTCCTTTTTTGTTTTCCCTGGTGATAGACGTACTGACGTGCCACATCCAAGAGAAAGTGCCATGGTGCATGCTATTTCCAGATGATATTGTATTGATTGACGAGACGCGAAGCGGTGTGAATGCGCTATTAGACCAAGACATAATATATGGAGTGTAAGNGGGGGGGGGGGGGAGGGAGGTGAGGCTAGATAGGTCATCCCTATGAGAGGAAGTTTTAAGTACCTTGGTTCTATTATTCAGGGGGATGGAGAGATTTATGAATATGTCACACATCGTATTGGGGCGAGATGGATGAAATGGAAACTCTCTTCTGGTGTTTTGTGTGACAAGAAGGTGCCATTAAAACTTAAAGGTAAGTTCTACAGAATGGTGGTCAGACCGATGATGTTGTATGGGGCTGAGTGTTAGCCTGTCAAGCTCGCTCATGTACAGAATATGAAGGTAGCAGAGATGAGGATGTTGAGATGGATGGGTGGGCAAATCAAGTTATATATAATTAGAAATGAGGTTATTCATGACAAGGTGGGTATGGCCCCTATTGAGGACACAATGCGGGAAGCGCGACATAGGTGGTTTAGTCATGTGAGGAGAAGGAGCACAGATGCCCCGGTGAGGAGGTGTGAGAGGTTGACATTGCAGGTCATACAGAGAGGTAGAGGTAGGCCAAAGAAGAGGCGAGGAGAGGTGATTAGGCAAGACATGGCACAGCTTCAGCTGACCGAGGACATGACCCTTGATAGGAAGATATGAAGGTTGATGATTAGGGTGGTAGAGTAGGTAGTTTAAAGTGTTCATAATAGTAGTATTGGCACACAGTCTCACCTATGTTGGTAGTAGGTTTTTATGACTAATCATTATTTTCTTTCGTTGTTGATCACCTTACTATCTTGTTATTTTTATTCTGCTTTTATATGGCTTTTTGGTGCTGTCCCTTCTTGTCTATATTTTTATTAATGGGGTGCTTATGCTTTTCTGAGCCGAGGGTATATTTGAAACAAACTCTCTATCCTCACAAGGTAGGGGTGAGGTCTGCGTATACACTACCCTTTCCAGACCCCAATGGTGTAGAATATTACTAGGTATGTTGTTGTTGACGGTAGGTTGACTTTGTTGCTATCGAGTTCGGATTTTGGTTCCGAAATTTAGAATATGTTAATTTTACCATTTTTGACTTGCCTACAAAATTTAGTGCAAAATAGATTTGATTTGATGTGATTCAGACGTACAATTTTAAATTTGCATGTTCTTGAGTTTCTTTAAAAATATCATTCATTTTGATGTGTGATTCATAGTTTTAGGTGTTATTTTGGTATTTTTATCACATGAGCGACTTCCTATGATGTTATTACAGTTGCGTGCAAGTTTGGTTTGGAGCCTGAAGGGCTCGGGTGAGTTTGGGAAAGGCTACAGAGTAATTTTTGGACTTAGGCAATTTCTACTTTCTTAGGCTTCTAATATCTGGTGCATTGTGATTCGCGATCGCGAAGCTACTCTCACGAATGCGAAGGGGAACTTGGGGCTGTGGTGGTTTTATTCTATGTGAATGCGGGGGACCAGTCGCGAACACGAAGCATTGGGGGGCTTACCCTTTGCGAACGCAACCACCCTCTCGCGAACGCGAAGGTTTATGGGATTCTGGGGGGAGGTGGCCTGTAGCTCTACGCGAATGCGAACCTAGTCTTGCAAACACGAAGGTCAGAGGGACAGGCCATCACGGATGTGAAGTCCACTTGTGCAGATGCACTTCGCGATCGCGTCAGGCCCGTCGCGATCGCGAAGAAGGCCTGACGCCCAGTGACTTAAATGTCCCAAAAACGGGATTTTCTTCATTTTTCACCATCTTCACATTAGAGCTCGGCCTAGAGGCGATCTTGAAGAAGAATTTCATCCCCACTTCATAGGTTATTATATTTTAACTCTTTTTCTTCTATTTCCATCAACACCCATTGATTTCTAACCTTAATCTGTGCTCTTCCAAGGTAGAAAATTAGGAATTTGGGTAGAATTGAGGGGTTTTGTAAAATTGGGATTTAGACCACAAATTGAGATTAGATTTCGAAACTAACCAAATAATCGGGCCCGGGGGTGAATGAGTAATTGAGTTTTTGTCCGAATCTCGAGTTTTGACCAAGCGAGCTCGGGGTTGACTTTTGTTGACCTTTTAGGAAAAGTATAAAGATCTTTGCTTTATCTATTATAATTGGTTTACTAGTATTGTTTGATGATATTGAGTCGATTTTGGTTAGATTCGATTGGGTTGGACGAGGATTTTAGAGGAAAGGCCCCGGTTGAGCTTTGATTAGATTGTAGAGCGAGGTAAGTGTTGGTTCTAACCTTGATGTGAGGGAATTTGGGACCCTTGAACTATATGTTATGTGACTTACGTATGAAACATCGTATATACGAGGTGACGATTATATATACTCCGTCAACATAATTGTGTCCATGCTTTCTCGTATTTCATGAATATCTTATTCCATGTCTTAACTGTTACATGCTTTAATTGCCTTCTATGCCGTAGCTTGTTACTTGTCATTAATTATTCTATAATGAAATGTTCGTTCCTTCCAATACTCCATGATTAATTGCTACTTGCCTTAATTGTCTTACTTGTGCACTTTAACTATTATATACTTGGCTTGTTTTGTTGCTCTTGTATTATTTGTACCTTTCCTTTTATTAGTACGTGGTTCATTTATTGCTTTGCTTTCATATTCTTTTGTCATAGAGATTCTTGTTAATTGAGTTATTGGGTTGATTTCATTTATTGAATTTGTTTATGGATCGGGTTGCGCGTTGCAATGGTTTTGATATGGTGGAATAAGGAGGATTTTGATATTAATACGGTGGGATCGGGTTGCGCGCGACAATGGTTGTGTACGTATACTTGATATTGATAAACTATGATATGGTAAAATAAGTGAGGATTATGATATTGATTCTGATTATATGGTGGGATTGGGTTGCATACTGCAACAGAATTTATATGTGATTCTTGATATTGATATAGCAAAATAATGGAGGGTTGTATGTTATACGGTGGGATCGGGTTGCGCGCCGCAACGGATTGTGTGTACTGTATTCATTGTTGTTATTGTGTTGATTTCCAGTGTTGTTGTATGAAATTATGAGATCGGTTATTCCGAGTTCTCTGATTACAAGGATTGAGTTCTTTTACATAAGTTAGTTAGCTTACTTTTTCCTGTTTTTCCTTTCCTATTATTATTATTATTATTATTATTATTATTATTATTATTATTATTATTATTATTATTATTATCATTATTATTATTATTATTATTATTATTATTATTATTATTATTATTATTATTATTATTATTATTATTATACTACAAGTTATTGTAAGTGACCTGCCTTAGCCACGTCATTACTTCGTCGAGGTTAGGCTTAGTACTTACAAAGTGCATATGGTAGGTTGTACTCATACTACATTCTGCACTTCTTGTGCAGATTTTGGAGTCGGTCCTACCGGTGGTCAGTAGATTGCTCGAATCCGATGCTTGATGATGACTTGAGGTACAACTGCACGATGTTCGCAACCCTGAAGTCCCCGTCTACCTTACTCTAGCT